CTGCCAGCATCCCTCCTGCAGAAAGGTACGGGGCAAACCAAGGACAGGATGCAAAATTTTGAAAATCCTTTCAGGTGAACTCAAACCATTTTGTCCAACCTAAACTGATTTACTTTTTTTTTAAATTCTTTATAAAGCTTTTTAATTGTTCTTCCATCATTTTTGGTTTTAAGTAGAAAACGGGTTAAAAAAAAATCAAGATTTTTGCTTAATAAATATCTAAAAGCTAGCGACCTGCCCGTGTTCTCCCTCCACTGTCTTTGAAGCCGTGACCCCAGGGGAGCCGAGGAGAAATAATATATTCATGTGATATTACTTGTAGTCAACCCTGAAACACCAGCGCGAACAGCTCCAGCAGGAACCCCAGTGCTCCCAGGAGCTGGTCTCACAGACCTGCAGGCTTTCTCCACAGCTTCTGGCTTCTCGCCCACGCAGTGGTTGTCACTTCACTTGTTTGAGAGCTTCTCACTAGAAAAGGATGTGCTATGCTCTGAGAAAGGGAGATAATGTTACAAAAAAGAGCAGTCCGTTGCGTTGGAGAATGATGGAGTGGGGTACCAGTTCTGCACACCAAGCAGATAAGAAATTACCATCTAAACTCCTCCCTGGCCCAAAGGGAAATATGGTCCGTCTGGTGAGAGTGTGGTCACAGGGCTTCACAAGACTGCAGAAAGCCCTCAGCTTGGCCAGCTGGAATTTCTGACAAAACCATTTTTTTGACCAATAGTCACAACCCAGGAGTAGGTAAGAGAAATGTTTCCTATTTTTCAGTACCAAAACACACTGAGCACCTCCAGAAATGGATTTTCACATATGCCTTGAGAATCTCCATATCTAGCTTGGGCAGGGATAATATATCTCAGCTAGTTTATATTGTTGCTCTCTTATTACCTCTAATGTGATGCATTGTTATTGAAGGTTTCTTATCCATGTTCCTTTTTCAGTAGAAACCCATTCTGTTTTATGCATGAGTTCCACACTGCTGCAGCTAGAAGGCATGCAGATGAGGAATGCCTCTCCAAATAAGCCCCTTGCTAGGAAATATAAACAATCCTCACGGAGCTACAGCAGAAAACCACAAATTGTGGTGCAAATTGTATTTCCATGAGGTTCTACGAATGAACACAAAAGAAAAGCAGAAGGGAAAGCAATTCGTCTGATGGCCATGGGCGAAGCAGAGAGCAATTTAGGATGACACGCAGGTAGACAGTGCAGCAAGACTCATCACTTTCCGAGAAATGTGGGTCCTCAAGTTGAATGTCAGAAGATCCCTTACATGGGTACCAGGGGCCACCGCAGCCAAGCGCTCAGCCAAGTTGGGGGAACTCTCCTTCTCCTCATCTCATATCAGAGCAACTGGGACAGTAATTACCACCACCTCCATTTCCCCACCTTCTTCTTTGTTTGCCAGAGCTACAGATCTTGTACTAAAAAGAAAGTAGTTTCCTGGTGGTATAGACTACCGCTGAGTGACCCAAAGCCTGCTGAAAGTCACCACTTGTTTCCACTGGTTTAAACTGAAAGAGGGGAGATTTAGACTGAATATAAGGAATAAATTCTGTATGATGAGGGTGGTCGGACACTGGGGCAGGTTGCCCTGAGGAGCTGTGGCTGCCCCATCCCTGGAGGTGTTCAAGGCCAGGTTGGACGGGGCTTGGAGCAACCTGGGCTGGGGGGAGGTGTCCCTGCCCAGGGCAGGGGGGCGGAATTTGGAGCTGATGATCTTTAAAAGGTCCCCTCTGACCCCAACCATTCTGTGATTCTATGATAAATTTAAAAGGTTTGGGATAAAGTCCTAAACTGCAACCAGCTCTGGCTGCCGAGTCAGTGAGTGAGCGGGGGAAGCCGTGCTGCTGGGAAATGCCAGTCTACACCAGTAAAAGGACTGGGATGTCAGCGTGCAGTCCTACACGCTGAGGTACCCACTGTTATTCTGAGGAGCTACAGAGAGCAGTAATTCGTCCCTGTTTGGATTTATGGCTGGTCTGAATTTCATGTACCATTTTCATAATGTGTGTCATAATTACCAAAATTGCAAATAACTTTTTAATATCAATGTTAAAAAATAGTCAAATCTTTCACAGCATTTTTATCGCCTATTTACAATCTCAAATCAAATGGTTTACAACTTTGTCTTCTGAAAATATACAACGTAAGAAAACACTAGCCTGGCAAAATTATGCTTTTATGATAATGACAGGGATAAGTTATAGTTACTCTGGTTAAACTATAATGGCTGCACAGATGCTGGGAAAAAGCTATTGTACAACATGTTTGCCACCGTGAGCACGGCACCTGCCAGCTCCACCGCGGAACATATAAGAGCATGTTAGCATTTCTTTATGAATATTATTTTCAAGGATTATAATTGTACCATAAACATTCACTCGGGGATAAAATACCGGTATGCAGGCTTTAAAAATTACCTTGAGAAACGCTCAGCCAGTTTCACATAGCTGGATTTCAGAAGCAAGTTTATGAGAGATAATGTGTCATTTGTTTCTGATCTTGTAGGACTCAAAAATGGTCTGCGCTCTCCTTATGGTCTATATGAATCTGTAGCAGGTGAATTTAGTGATATTTACAGAACCAGAAACTAAATCCTCCAGCCCACCGCTGGCTATTAGGAAATAATAATATTTATCCACAGATAAGTGTTGCACGAATGGCAATGGCAGGAGTTCCCTACGTGTCTCACCACGCTGCCCCTGCACCCCCCCGTGGTCCCGCTCACTCCCGAGATGCTGCTCACGGGCACCAGCACTGGTGGTTATGACCCACCCTCACTTGCCAAATTTAGTCTCACAAACCGGCCGCTGAGGTGCAAACTGCGTCTGGGCATTCCTCGCCACCGAAGTGGGGGAGGAACAGAGCGGCCACGAGCTCCCGCACGGAGAGCAGAGCCCACCAACACCGTGACGCACGTCCTAGACCTGCTAGACAGGGGCGAGCTGGGTGCGTTCAACACAGCGAGAAAATACAGGAATTGAGGGAAATAACATTGCTAAATCTACACCACTACAATCATTTGCTCCAGTCCCTGTTACAGAAAACTCATTATATAAGAAAGATATAATATATTATACGGAAAACAGAATTATATATGGTCAGTAAGTATCTAAGGGGTTTAGTCAAAGTGTATTGTCGGACTTTCTTAGCAAGGCAATTTTCATAGAGTATGAAGAGCCAAAAAAAAGGGCGCTATCAGCTTGTGTAAAATCAGAGTCAACTAACCTAGTTCGGCTTTTCAAAAATTGTTCTACATCAGAAGCAAGACTGAGTTACTGCAATTTCAGTGAGGTAGAACATCTCCAAAGAGAAGAACCACTGCTAAAAATCAAAGTGAACATTTATTTGTGTCTCGAGGATGGTGGTTTTTAGTGAGGGAAAGTCTTCCCAGGTCTATGGCCCAGCTTCGTCTTTACTTTAAACTTTCTCCGTGCGGCTGGACAGAGTATGAATGAAGATCAGGCATTATACATCTCATTCTCCACCACTGAATCCGCTCTGTCTTACTCAATATTAAAGCCCTGGTAGCGCCTCAGGCAGCAGCAGCTGACCCTTTCTATTAAGACCTCGTCTGCAGTGGATGCCTCACGCATATGCCTATTGATGTATTTTAGAGTGGAGATAATTTTGTATTTTGGGTATCCGCTCTGGCTTCAGATTCCCAAGAAAACACCTCTTATATCTATTTTTTTTCATGCCGTGTATTTCCCCCCACTCCCTGCTATAATGTATTGTCATATTCCATCATAAAAGCCTTCTTACGTCCATCTTTGTCAAAACTCTAGGAGCCACTTAAGCATCACTTTGAAGGGCTCTTTATCACTCGGAGGAATTTTCCCCTAATTGTATCCTTTAACTCCAAAAGGGGTTTGGGGACATACTTTGTATGAAAGATGCTGTAGAAAACAAAAGTTGCATTGCTAGTGGTTCTGCTTTTATATTCCCGTCCTGGTAACTCTCTGCACACCAATTTGCTTTCTCTTTTCCAATACCCATCTCCTCCTGGGGCTAGTTCCTGGGACAGAGCTGTCTTCAAATAATTTAATTATCATGTGGCACACACCTTTTTAGTCCCCCCTGAAACGGTGCGTGATGCCTTTGGTTTACATCACTTGTTGGAAAACACTCCAAAGCATTGAAAAACTATTAAATTGTTACAGTATTGGATGCCAACACACAGGGCTATTAGTCTAATTCATCCTTCAGATCAAAGCCCACACAGGCAGCTCTCCTGCCTACAGCTATTTTCCTTTTACTTTCCTGCTTGACAGTAGTCCCTCATATCCCTCTGTTCTACTTTCTTTGAACATACACATTTTCCTTTAGTCATGGAAATATAATTTATGTCTATTATACTGTATTATAGATTGCAGATCAGGACAAGCGTGCGTTGCTGCCCGGAACGTCTGTTTATTGTACGTCGGGTTTCTAAAAATAAATAAATAAGAAATCCACCCTGCTCCGCTGGGGAGAGAAAAATAAGAAGGGGGGGGGGACGAC